CTTGCAGAGATCTTGCAGGAACCATTTCCCTTCTCCTAGCGGGATGCTGGACCGTGCAGTTGAACGGCTGCACGGGGGAAAGCCAGGCTCATCTCGCCGAGGATCGACCGGGCACCATCACGCCTTGCATCCCGCGGCACCAGCTCCCCTCCTACGCCACATCCTTCAGCGCTTCCCTCAGATGAACAAATTATACAGGGACCTAAAATAGAAACTGAGGAGCAGAAATTCCACTGGTATCTGCCTCACGCTAGCAGAGGCATCGTTTCCAAGCATGGAGAGGATTAAGCTACAACAAAGAAGACAAACGAGAGAGCACAGGACCGTCTCCTGCAGTGAGCCGCCTCCAAAGCCCCTTTATACGAGCAAGGCAGCAGCTCGGTGGTCGCATCTTAGATGCTGGCCAGTTCAAAGGGAACGGATTTGTTTATTCCAGAGCAGGTAAGACCCCAGGCTGGTTCTCACTCATAAAGATATATTACATGAGTCTCAAGGAATATGTGCTCCAAGTGGGTCCTGCCAAAATTAAACTGATAGTAAAGATGGAGCTTTTATGTTACTATCTATTCTTCCATTTTATTCAAAGAAATCAGCAGGATAGTCTTGCTGCCACAGAGCACGCGTTAGTCACTGCACGAGAAGACTCCTGCAGTGCACAGGGTGCTACAGGGCTGCTGGGTTGCTGTTGGTGTTTTTTAATCCCTGATTCTTACTAACAGAGATATTAGCTGTCAGGTAACCTGTCAAACTTAGCTACGAGCATACTTGTGACACCACACATTGTCTCCTTTCCCCCATCTTCATCTGTAAGCACCTTTGACTCAGCTATTTCAGATAATGTTTGCATGTTAATTCAAATCAAGCGGGTTTTCAGGATAGACACCGTGTCTCACCAGGTGCTCGTGCAGCACCCAACCCAGGCAACGCTGATGTCAGCAAGTCAGATCAGAGCCCTTTGCGGATGGAGATCAAGCAGCAGAACATCAAAGAGCACGCAGGCAGAATCAGGTATCTTGTCAAAGCCGTACCGAGGAGTCTCCGATACCGAGAGGTTCGTCACCCATTAGCAAATTCCTACTCCATAAACCGCAAGGAAGAAAACTGCATCCATACGAATACCCAGGAAAGTAGGAACTAGCTTTTACACACACCAGAACGCGAATTCTGAGAGGTTCACGGACAGTTAGGTAAGGGATGTGGCTGGACGGGAGGCGAGACCCGACTCTCGGTGGCTGGAAAGCAGTGGCCCTGCAGTCACCTCCATGCTCTGCTCCAGCAGGATCCCCTGCCAGCCGTCTGCAGGGATGCAGATTTAACGTGGCTCGTTTCCAGATGATGCAAACGCCTCTACAATGGTGTTACCGTACAGAGCAGACACAAGCCTGCTCCCAAATGACACTGATTCTGATTAAAAAAAGAAAAAAAGCATCAAATCCTATTATCTCAGTTCACCTGAAGCAAAAGGAGTCTTAAATGCAGCACCAGCTGGTAGAACAACCGGTCCTAGCTCAGCCACGTTCCCCAAGTGCTGCAGTCCACTCCGAAGATGGGAGAAGTAAAACATTTACTGCTGTCCATCTCAGGAGCACCTCACTGTTTCTCCAAGATGGAAACCAACCAGTAAGTGCCCAACCTCTAGTCACGCTTTTGTTACACCACATCTAGCAAACGAGTGTGCAAGACAGCACACACCCCACCGGAGCAACGCTCTCCTGTGAGTCAGAGCATCTGGAGGCGGGAGGCCCTCGTGTGCTGTATGCTCACTAACAGCAAGAAAAGCAACTTAATGGTCCACAGCATAATCCAAGAGGCAGTACCGATGAAGTCCAAAAAAGTCTGAAGATGGCAGCATCCAAATAAATGACTTACCAGGATTTAGACTTGGGAAAATATCTTTTGGGGAAAGGAAAAAGGCTGGGTGGGAGCGAAGGGGCAAAACAGCAAGACAAGCACCTCAGAATCCCAACCCAAATACAGAGTTGTAATATATTAGAAAGTGATTTCATTTCCCCTCAAATGCAGAACAGCAACAAAGGAAAAAAAAAACAAATAAACAAAACCTCAAACAAACCAAAACCTAATCAAACCCAACAACATCCCAGCCCAAAGCCACTGTCAGTGTTATAAAGCCACCAGCTGCAGACAGCTCACGGCCTGGACTAGCAAAGAAGTTCAAAAGATCGGGGCCAAGCGCACTTTCAGAGCAACCACAGTTCAGATGTCAACGGCCAAGCTTCTGGGCAGCACGAAGCCATGTCAGCAGAACCGAGCAGTAAACTTCTACCAGACCGTGGCTCGGTCAGTAGAACCAGACCCACCTTTCCACCAAACCACCGCTGGTTTCACAGACAGCACAGCCCTGCCAACCAACCTGCTGTTCCAACCGACAGCGACCGCCAGCAAGAGAGGAGAAAAACCCGCTGCAAATACAGTAAAACTGACTGAGACTTTGGAGTTGTTTCACCTTTTCTCAAGCCCCTGTCTCAGCCTAGGGAGAGGCGCTTGCCGTTTCGGCAGTGCCACACTGAGGTTCACACGGCCTCTCCGCTGTCAGGCTCTGCCTCCTGACCTCCACCAGCACCGGGCAGAGGGAGGACACAGGGATCTGTACGGAACCTCTTCAGTTTTTAGGCTCTGAATGGGGACTGCAGATACAAATCTGCACTGGCAGTTTCAAAGGACATTTTATCCGTGTAATATTGCCCTTGTGACCCCAATACTTTTGTCTTCTGGCTGTTACCAGAGGCTTTACTCAAACCTAAGGTTCCAGATCTTGAGAGGTGATTTTCTTGCACTGACCTTCTGAAGGGGCAGACACCACGCAAGCAGTTGCATGTTGGTACTCCTCTTTATGCCAGCTGAACGTCTCCTCTTTACACAGCTACACAGGTTAACTCAGGAGAAACTGTACGATGAAGATGGGCAAGCAGGCAAGACACTTTTTTCCTCTTCCAGGTCTCCAGCATAAATGCTATGTTTAGCTAGGCAGTAAGCTTGGAGGGCTCGGAGGTCTAATTAAAGAGATTCACAGACCCTTGTTGAATTTAGCTCCTTGGGTTCCTGTTCAGGTAAGACAGAGCAATTGCACAGCAGG